TCGAGTGTGAAGTTATTCCATGGTGAATGAGAGATCAAATCTTCTGACGGAGAGATTTTCGCGGATAGAATTATTTTACGAAGGTTAAGACTGGACTGGTCCCTGTCCACGGAAATCTTTGGACATTTTAGTCGCAGTATAAACTTGGTTCAGTTGCCGGATAAATCCTGAGGCCGGCTGCTATATTCTGAGCATTAGACTTGAGAACAGGGATATATCCAGATCCTAGATAGCTCGATTGCACCGAGACGCGGGAAAGATCGCCGTTTGAATCCTGATGTGGCTAGCTTCTCTCTTGGAATTGGTGATTTTGGAGACGAGGTTCTCTCGATTGGAGACAATAGAATCACAGTGTGTCTCTTTTATAACGAATGGGGACTTTAATACAGATCAAAATTTGTATGTTTAATACTCTGGACGAGTATCTACTACCCCTTTGCTATTTTTTTTTTCTATCAGGCACTTGTTTTATTATTAGCCTCTTCGAAACCTGGTTAAATCCTTTAATTCTCAGTATTAAAAATTTTCTTCTACTCTGATTTATGTTGTTGGCGAACGTGCTCTAATATAAATTAAAGATAAAGTTAAAAGCATAAATGAACAAATAATTGCAGTAACTAATCGAGATGTCACCGTTTATATTTAATTTACAATTAATTACAAATTTCAAGCATAGCATTGACCACATCGTGGAAGATATTGACACATATAGAGTATAGAAAATTTTTCTATACTATATACTATACTATGAAAAGTTTTCTATATTATATACGTGTACGTATCAATATCTTCCATGATGTGGTCAACGCCGTGCTTGAAGTTTGTAATTAATTGTAAATTAAATATAAACGCCATGCTTGAAGTTTGTAATTAATTGTAAATTAAATATAAACGGTGACATCTCGATTAGTTACTGCAATTACTTGTTCATTTATGCTTTTAACTTTATCTTTAATTTGCGTTCGTTTTACTAATTTTAACTTTATCTTTAATTTATATTAGAGCACGATCGCCAACAACATAAATCAGAGTAGAGGAGAATTTTTAATAAAGTTTTTACTGAGAATTAAAGGATTTAACCAGGTTTCGAAGAGGCTAATAATAAAACAAGTGCCTGATAGAAAAATCTGCACGAAACTAAATTAAAAAAAAAAAAAATAGCAAAGGGATAGTAGATACTTGTCCAGAGTATTAAACATACAAATTTTTGATCTGTATTAAAATGTCAATGTACTTAATTACATTTTATACTTCCTTAATTGAATAAGCAATAATCATAGTCCTTAAAGTGTTGTTTTAGTAAGATATTAGTAATTATGAACTCAATACGTTGACTATTACGATGATCATTGGTGATTGTCGTTTTTATTTCTATAAATATTTCAATTAAAACGGAAACGAATTTTAAATAACTAGATAATATTATAAAACGAAAAATGCACTTTCGAGTAAACATTAAATGTTGAAATTAAATATTTCATAGGTGAAACGTGAGAATTTCACGTGTAACACACCTTTTAAAACGCACATTATAAATCTCTCAAATTTCGAAAACGGCGAAAAACTACCAAATTCCAGTTCGAGCATCTGTTACTATTAAATCAATTATCTATTTAACGTTTCGTAACTCTATACGAAATCTCAATTTTCTGAAAAATGACCTTTTACCATCACGAGTCAAATGAAATGTGAAACTCGCGCTTGAACTGGCACGTACTACATTGGAAGAAATTTCGCGAGACTTCTGCGAGGAATTCTCGAGTTACACGCGTCGGCGGGAAGTTCTCGCGGACTCGCGACCATCGAGAGCGTCTTCTCGCGAATTTGCGAATTTACAACTTGCGCCGTATTTAGGGAAGCACGCGTTGTTAGATCGCGCCGACAACTCGTACAGTCTTTGTCTCCGTTATCAATTTATCAAGCGCGTCTCACGGATGAGCCTCGAGCGTTTATCACGCGCAAATATGCCGGAAATCGAGACACTGTCCCGTAAATCTCGCCCGAAAATTGTCGTCTTAATCAAAATTTACGGCGCTCGTTCGGAGCGAATTCGTTCTGATCTTCGACGCTGAAATTTTGAAAGTTGACTTTCGTTCTTCCAACACAGAGGTTTGCTGTTTGCTTCTCTAAATGAGAAATTACTCATGCAAAGAGTATCTCTAGTTATTAAGGGTATTTTTTTCTCGCTGAAAACGAAAGAAGGAAACAAATATTGTCGCTTTCGATAAGATTTTTAATGAGAAACGATATACCGCGCTCTCGAACGGTATATCGAATTGAAACATAAATTAGTTCCGTCAACGGAATTTAAGAAGGTCGAAGTTCGTTAAAAGTCACTTAACGCCGAACTTTATCGCAGTTTCGATAACTCGAGCAACTTTCGATCGAAACTTCGGCCGAACGAGACTTATTCTTCCGCAAGAAATATGCAATTAGCCGTTAAAGAAACGGAAGGAACGTTACAAAACAACACAGCCTCTTTTTCCACTGCAGAAAAGTCAAATCGAAGCGTCGACATTTTGCGCTCTGCGTAATCTGCGGCGAGACGACGATTTTTACGGGAATACGCGAAACTGAAGATGAGAATATAATCGAAAAATTACCTCGACTCTACCGCCATGAAGCAACGTTTTCTTCGCTGAAGAAAAGAAGAGAGAAGAATTAGAAGATTTCCCCCTTGGTCACTAGAACTTCTCGAAAGGATCGAGGATGGAAAAATCACGAAGAGATGGAAGTGACGTTGGTGAACGTCAGACAGCGAAAGAACCGAAATACCAGAGAGGAACAACGGAAAATCGACCGACGGCCTTCGTTACCTGCTTCACGCTGGATATCGATCCTCCTTCGTTCCCTGCTTCTTTCCCTTTTGTCCCGCGTTCCTTGGCTTCTTGTCCTCGCGAAAATTCGATTTCTTTCGCACGTTCGATGCTTTTACACTCAGTCGCACAATTACTCGAGCGACAAGTCGCATTTTTATGTCAATTCACTTCCGTGAGTTAACTTTTTCATCGGATCTCGAAACGTTCAGCGGGGGGAATTTCAGTGAAATTTTTTTTCAGACCTCGATCTCGATTATGTCCGTGGTTCTTCCGGAGATTTTATAAGGGACAGCGATTCTCTTGGCGCATTTGCAAGTTTTATCATTTGTCGACAGACTCGTCGGGACGAAGTTCCCAACGACAGAGTCGGTCGATGCCGATGGTTTATGCACTCGACGCAGGACGCAGGCTGACTTTTAATCCAAATGTTTCATTCTGACTTTTCTATTGAGACGAGAGTTGCCGAGACATGTCGAGCAATTGAGCCGATCGGGGATCGAAAATAGAATATTCGGCGGGCTTGATATTTTCGAACCCACCCCTGGATATTGAAACTCCGGATATTTCCGGGTTCAATCGGAAATTGAGTAGATTCGGTCCAAATCAAGGTAACCGAGTGATGTTTACAATATAATTTGCATAGTGCGTACATATGTAAATGTTGCTATCGGTTTTTTTTTTTT